CCCCCCCAAAAAAAAAAAAAAAAAAAAAAAAAGCCTTAAAAGTATCTAATGAAGAGATAGAAGGACTTTATTTAGTGATTAGCGTTTGGGTCCTCTATTGAATATCGCCATACAGTCAATGTAGCTAGTATTTATTTAGAAACCGTCTCTCAGTTTTCTTAGTTAACATGTCTTTTTTTTTATTATAGAAATGGACGCCCTGTCGAAAATGTGCGAGCAATGGTTGAAGTTCATCAATTAGCTGCATCGAGACAAAAAGTAAACCAAGGCACCACAGCTGATTTATTTCGAACGCCAAATCTTCGAAAACGCATTCTGGCTATGGCATTTAATTGGTTGACATGCTCGTACTGTTTTTATGGGGTATCGCAATATGTTGGCCAACTAAGTGGTGATATTTTTATTAATGTAACTTCCAGTTCTGCGGTTGTATTGTGTGGTACTTTACTGTCTATACCTATGATGAAAATGATGGGTAGGAAGACCATATTATTAACTTGTCATTTCATTTGTTCAACGTGCTTATTTATTTTGGCATTTGCGGAAGGTGTTCTGTCTGTATTTTGTGCTACTGTCGGAGTCGTAACTAGCTTCATCGTGTTTGTGGTTGTTTATTTGATGTGTGGAGAGTTATTCCCCACTGTAGTTCGAAACTGTGCAGTCGGTTTGTCATCTATGTCGGCTAGGATCGGTTCCATGGTAGCTCCTTTTGTACTAGATTTAAAAGACATCCATCCCTCACTGACTGCAATCACATTCGCAGTGATCCCATTGATAGCCTTTTTTGTAACGCTACTTTTACCCGAAACTAAAGGGTGTGAACTCACGGCTACTTTAGAGGAAGGTGAAAAAGCGTTTACAACATCAACAAAAAAATAAGCAGATGCAGTAAAGATTTTCTTAGACAGCTAACAATAAATCTAGTGCCGATTTGATAAAACTGTCTTTCCCTATTGTGGGGCTTTACAAGTTGCCAATTTCTAACATCAACAGCCTATAAGTGCCCACTGCTGAGCAAAGCCTCTTCTCACACGGAGAAGGTTTGAGCATTAATCACCACGCTTGCTCAATGCGGGTTGGCGATTACAAACTTATAATTAGAAATTAAGCCCAGGTTTCCTCACGATGTTTAGCCCAGATTTCCTCACGATGTTTATTCACAATTTCTAACGATTGCCGTGAAAGGCGAGGTGAGGTCTATAATATACCTACTATCAAATTCAAATCTTGTTTGAGCGTTGAGTCTAATTCATCCTGGAAAAAAATATTTTCTAAACTAAAAAACTAACTATCAAGCCTAATTTAGGGATGTTCCATTGAGTAGTCAAAGTTTCAGATCTAGATAACTTAACTACTCAAAATAAAATAAAGGCCGCCATCAATTTAATTATTTTAAGCAGGTAAGTAAGTGGAAATAGTGAAGTGCTTGAAAAAAATTGAAATGAAGAAATTTTATGGTCTGTAACTGTAACTTATTATATTACATTCATCGAATATCGTCATCGTGTCTGTAAGTCTGTATATTCGATGAATGTAAGAGGAATCGCTTTTTGTGAGTTTTGTTAGTTGTCTGTGTTAATTGCAAACACTATAGCAGATGTTCGACGTGGTTCAGACAAGGATACCGCAGTTAAAGCAATTTCTCTACTTCAGGACGGAGAGACTTAGGGCTATGGCAATTTTCGACGGTATTGTGAGCTCTATCTATTTGACACGTATGAAATTGCTATCGAAAGATTGAAAAATTTGACTACTTATGACATTTTCTGCACGTTCAAATCTTAAAATATTGCCTTGAAATGCCATGGCGTGCCACAAGCCTCCGTTTTAAGCCTATTGAATATCAACGGGGTTAACTAAAAAAAGTGTGGGTGATTTGGCAATTAAATTCTTTAACAAGTGGTGTTCCATAGTCTCTGCCTATCCCCATGGGAGACAGGCGTGAGTTTATGTATTAAGTATAGGAGAGCCATGCTTACACACAAATGAGCCGGCTCCTCCGCAGTGATACCACGGCCTCACAGAAAACCGAAGCGAAACAACGAATGCGTTGTTTCGTCGAGTGAAAGAGGTCACCAGAGTCCTAATTATCCCCAATAATCAATATTTTTAAATTAAGTGATTTTGTCCTCTATTTCCCTAAAAAGTGTATTTTGCGGGTAACTTTTTAGGCTGAATAAGTGTAAAGAATGTCCTAATACCTATAGTCTACAACTGCTTTCCGATAAAACCTACAAACTGGGCGGCCCTTGCATTGTTTTGAGTGGTATAGTTTGTTAAAGTAAGCACACGATTATTTTTATAAATTTGCATTTTTTTTTATTCTAATTTTTTTGACATTTGTAACTTTATAAATACAGCTAAGTTATTGTTATGTCATTGTACACAATGCGCTACAAACAAAAATCACAATTTTGAATATATTATTTTATTCTATTAATTTTTTCTTATTCTTTTAGTTTAGTTTAGACAAGTTTTAATTTTTTAGTGTTTATCAAAAATTATAGGCGCTATGGCTTGGTTCTATTGCTAAGTACTTCCCTATTTTCGGACAGTTTATTAACAATTATTTTTCTTCGGTAACTTGTTTTGACAGTAACAAGGAACATAATAAAACAATTATCAACCTCTATCACAGAATGTAAACAACTATAGGACTCTTCCTACGTACATTTGGACAATTAATGCTATTTATATAGGTGCGGACATAGGGCTCGTACACAAAACTGAGATGCGACGCCGCATCGCAAAAATGTGCGAGCTCCCACTGCGCATCGCAAGAACTTGCGGATTGATTCGCATCGTGCATCAAAATCTTATCTTCCCAAAATCTTCTTTGTTTCTTTTTCCTGTAGGTATCTCCTAAGCAATAACAAAAGTGCACACTCTTTATGATCTATGTATGTCAATTGTCACGACCCAGTTTTCAATTGAAAATACGTTTAGTACGGTTGACGGTCGTCGACGGAATGGTCACCCTGGAAGACGCCTTGTGGCATGAAATCGCATCGCAAAAATTCGTGTCGTAATTATCTGCATCGCATCGCAATTTTATGTACGAGCCCATAAATGACCGGTTTGCATTCTTTCAGTCGATCGCGAATTATATTACAGTTGTCATGTCACATGGGGCAATTTAAACATTCTGGATATTACTAGTTAACTACGGACTAAACAGAACTACCGTGAATCAGACGTAATGGCATATGTTAGCCTCTATCAACATAATCAAGTTCAATTTAGATATATTATTGTACCACTGACTAATAAGGATTTTTTCAGTAACTAAGCGTACTTGCGTTAATTTGACTTCCGCACGGCACAATTAGGTACCTACTGTTTGAACTCTTTGTATGACAGTTCGCGCAGTAGCTGGACTGGCTGATGTGCAATGTGTAGCTCAGTGAAGAATTTTTAGGGTTATCCATAAATTGTTATTCCGGCTGTGATGCGTATGCGTTTGTTATGTACGCACTCACGACAATGTTTAAATATGTGGGGCAACTTAAGAAAAATATATTCAACTTTTATGAAGACCGAGTTCAGTACCTTATCTAATAGAGAAATCCGGAATGGATAGAAGCAGGAGTAGAAACGGGGTGGTTTTAGCTAGTAAGAGTCTGACACTCCCGCAAGGCGGGAGGAGCCATTAAAAGTTTTCCCCCCCTTAAAAATATCCTTTTTTTATTTACTTTGTTTATATAAGTAACTAATAACTAACTAACACAGATATATAATATCTGCACAACTAAAACTCGAATACACATGTTTCATCAGATAGTGTTGTTATCATAAAGTTTCTTACTGTCACAATAATATCGATAAAGTGACGTTTTCTCGCGCCTAGTAAATAACATTGATAGCGTAAGAGAGTGGCGTACGGCTGTGCGCGAGCGCAACTCTTGGTTCAGTACGAGTAACAAAGCAATGTCCTCAGTCTGCAACAGTGGGCCGTGTAGTGCAGATCTCCGCATTCACTAAACTCAGTGCCCATGACAACGATAGTGTGACAGAATCAGCCTTCAACCAGTGATTATACTTCTATACTTAAGTTCATGCTAACATGAACACCATGGAAGTGCAGGAGCGAAACGGTAAGCGGATTTTATTATAGTGAAAGTGAGGTGTAAGTGTATTGACTTCAAGTTGGAGTGCTAACCCCGATATTATAGGCCTTCGCGAATTAGCATTGACACAAAGAAATCTTAGTGTGTTTTTTAATTCTAAAGTTACTGGTGAGTTTTAGTTTTTAGTGAAATTGAAGCGACATGTTAAATATATTATGCAGGTACTACCTACATGTGATTTGCAAATTATCAACTATATTTGTGAAATTATCACGTACCCACCTTCAAACAAAGTAAATCATTTTTATTTTATAAGTTAACGTCCCCGCGCCACTGTAAGTGTTGTTGCATTTGGATTGCATACCAGTCAATATGTAATAAACTTAAAAAAGGTCAACTCTGACAGCTGTCATGATTATAGTGAGTGGTCAATAAAATCGGTTGGTGTTTATGACCGATTCTGATGGCATTCCGAGTCCACTGGATCAGAAAATACGACTATAACATCTCAGGAACTTCCGAAATAGCATAAGACTGTAGAACATTAATTAACAAATCAATGACATCAAGACAGAAAGATTTTTCAAACATTAACCCGTCGTTTGTCTAAACGTGGATCCACGGGAGACACTATGTATTTTCTATTGTGTCTCATATACAGGCATTCAAGCGGTTAAATTAAACCGAAATATATAATGGTCAATTTTGACATTTTATCTTTAATTATAGTAATTTATAATATTCTAAATAGATTTTTAAGAATGTTAATTACGATTGATCTGAAAACGATTAACTGACAGTTAACATCACTATGGCAACCAATCTCATTTTTTCATTTGTTATGTACGTGGACGTTCCAGGACGTTCAAAACAAGTAATAGCGGTCCATAGACTGATAATTGACCTCTTATTTTGTGACGACACTGTAGTTATATTACACGCTCACATCATAGCCATGAGTTATATTTTTTTTAATTTATTTTAAAGGGCTTTGTCGTGTTTGTTTAAAATAGCACAAAATATATGAATCGAAAGTAAGAAGCTATCTTTAAATTGCTAACGGAATAAATAAAGGTGCATTTAAATGAGTAGATAAATGTGTAGCAACAACACAATACATGCAAATGCCAAAGCAGGTTCTGCATACAAAAAGTCATACCAAAGTAAATAATGTGGTCGGTCTCGGTACTCGGAACAAAAAAGGATAACGAGTGCCTGGTTACCTCTTACTGGTTAATACAGAAATGAATATGGTTGAGTAGGTACTCGCATACTGTATGGTAGTGTATGACCGTGTATGTACTCAGCGCCTATTGGTCGAAGCGTGACGATTTATAGCTTTTAGCCTTTCTCGATAAATGGACTATCCAACACAAAAATAATTTTTCAAATCGGGCCAGTAGTTCCTGAGATAAGCGTGTTCAAATAAACAGACTGTTCAGCTTTAAATAATAATGATGACATAACATAGGCAGAGGTGTTCATTGCGGCACTTAATGACACTACAATATAACACCCACTTTTCACTATTTATGTTATGAGTCCAATGTAATAGGGGGTGAACCTATTGCCATTTACCAGGCACAATGCCAGACTCTGTACTACTACTGAGATTTTTTGAAAAACCCCAGTAATACTTTGCCCGACCCGGCAATCGTACCCGAGACCTCTTGCCCGGCAGTCGCATTTGCGCCCACTCGGCCAACGAGGCAGTAATAATAATCATGACTTCATGAGTATAAGATTAACCTGTTTCAGCAACATTGACTAGTATACTGAATGATCGATTTCTCTATAAGATATAAGTGCACATAAGTAGGTCATTTAAGTACCAATTTTTCACTAGTTACGCTAGTTGGTATGAAACCGTAATAAATGGCGAACCTATTACCAATAGTACCTATTTGAAGTTTTTTCGACTCAAGTATAGCAATTTTTCGGTATGAGTTCGATGTACCTATATAATATGTATGGCAATAGACAAAGTTAGCATAGGAAGACTTACAACATGGCTGATTAAAAAGGGGTATAGTATTATTGACATTGAATGTTTATCTGTTTACCACTTTGGATCTTATGTTATGTTTCTTGGGATCAATCAGACTTATGCACGCTCTCCGGCTCGACGTGCAGGAAAAGGAACGGGGTGGTTTTTACTCAGTAAGCGTCTGACACCCCCTCCCGCCTCACCTAGGCGGGAGCAGTCATTCGATGATTGTCCCCACTTAAAAAAAATGCACGCTATACACCTTACGATTTGACTGTGCAGTTTAAATTGTACAGTCTGACAGTACAGTTGTAACTGGAGGTGTGTACATGAAATATATTTCCAAAATAACTATCTAGGGAATAACAAAGGAGGTGATTAGGGATCGATACTGGTGCCGAAAATGAAATCAGTAAAATGTTTGTCTGCCTGTCTGCCTGTATGTCTATATGTCCATACTAGCTGTTGCCCGCGACTTCGTCCGCGTAGAATAATGACTTCTGGCAGAATTTAGGCTTTTGAATTAGTTTTTATCAAGGGATATTCTACGGTAATGGATGTCGTCAGAATTGATTCAGTCCCGTAGATGATAGCGTGATAATATGTAGCCTATATGTTTACCAGACTTGTTAGTAATATTCATGCAAAATTTGAAATAGTAGTGCAGTACTTTTTGAGATCATCACGGCCATACATACAGACAAACAGACAAAAATTCTAAAAACCACATTATTGGCTTCGGTATCGATTAGAGATCACGCTTCAAATATTCTTTTAAAAAATATTCAATGTACAGTTTTGACTTTTCTACGATTTATTATATGTGTAGATAGCTGTTGCCCGCGACTTCGTCCGCGTAGATTAATGACTTCTGACAGAATTAACCAGAATCAATTCAGTGCCCAAGTAAGATTTACCTATTTTGAAATGATTTATCGTAGTTTCAATAAATAAATAATCCCGCAGGGATCTTACCAGTACAGTGCCCGATCACGTAAGGTTTGAGTAATAAAAACTATTCTATCGACTATTGTTGTACCGAATCTCTCTAGAATAAGTTCAGTGGTTAAGAGTTAGAGAGTCCTGGGGCATTGACGCATAGTTCCCGTTCTCGTGAGACATCTGTGAAAAAACTATCATACGTTACCCAGGTCCCAAATCATCGTTTTACCGAATGTAATTCAAAAAGATTCAATGATTCTAAATTCAACGGCTAAGAAGATTTATACAAACTCTCATTCCCTATTTTATCCCCTTAGGGGTGGAATTTATCAAAATCCTTTCTAAAGAGATACCTATGTCATAGTAACTTTATGCATGCAAAGTCTCAGCCCGATCAATTTAAAACTGGCAAAGTATCATACTTTGGGGTGAGAATGTTCAAAAACCTTTCTAAAGGGACGTTTACGTCATAATATCCATCTGCACGCCGAATTTCAACCCGATCGGTGTAAAACTGACAAAGCCTCACACAAACGTTCATCCCCTATTTTACCCCCTTGGTGGAAATTATCAAAATCCTTTCAAAGCGGATGCTTACGTCATAACATCTATCTGCATGCCAAATTTCAACCTGATCGGTTTAAAACTGACAAAGGCTCATATAAACTTTCATCCCCTATTTTACCCACTTGGGGGTGGAAATTATCAAAATCCTTTCACAGCGGACGCCTACGTCGTAACATCTATCTGCATGCCAAATTACAACCCGATCGGTTTAAAACTGACAAAGGCTCATATAAACTTTCATCCCCTATTTTACCCACTTGGGGGTGGAAATTATCAAAATCCTTTCATATCGGATGCTTACGTCATAACATCTATCTGCATGCCAAATTACAACCCGATCGGTTTAAAACTGACAAAGTCTCATACAAACTTTCATCCCCTATTTTACCCCCATTGGGGGTGGAAATTATCAAAATCCTTTCACATCGGATGCTTACGTCATAACATCTATCTGCATGCCAAATTTCAACCCGATCGGTTTAAAACTGACAAAGTCTCATACAAACTTTCATCCCCTATTTTACCCCCATTGGGGGTGGAAATTATCAAAATCCTTTCACATCGGATGCTTACGTCATAACATCTATCTGCATGCCAAATTACAACCCGATCGGTTTAAAACTGACAAAGTCTCATACAAACTTTCATCCCCTTTTTTACCCCCTTGGGGGTGGAAATTATCAAAATCCTTTCACAGCGGATGCTTACGTCATAACATCTATCTGCATGCCAAATTACAACCCGATCGGTTTAAAACTGACAAAGTCTCATACAAACTTTCATCCCCTTTTTTACCCCCTTGGGGGTGGAAATTATCAAAATCCTTTCACAGCGGATGCTTACGTCATAACATCTATCTGCATGCCAAATTACAACCCGATCGGTTTAAAACTGACAAAGTCTCATACAAACTTTCATCCCCTTTTTTACCCCCTTGGGGGTGGAAATTATCAAAATCCTTTCTTAGCGAATGCCTACGTCATAACATCTATCTGTATGCCAAATTTTAGCCCAATCTGTCCAGCGGTTTGGGCTGTGCGTTGATAGATCACTATGTCAGTCAGTCAATCAGTCAGTCAGTCAATCACCTTTGAATTTTATATATATAGATAACAGTTATAGAAACAAAAACTACTCGACGGATTTACCGCTGGTGAATGATTAAGTAATAAAATGAAATATTTGATGAAGTAAGCTTACTTTCTTCGATACGATCGGAACTTGTTTATTTTTTAACTACGTTTAAGTACCTACAGTGTTTGCCAAACATCGGCTGGGTACTTTCACAATGTGGTTGTACCTAATTCCAAATAAGAATTGCTAGTTTATTTATTTTACCTGTTTGCTAATGGAATATTTGGGAACATTGACGTACTTAAGTGGTCGTCAACCTTTAATATTGCCAATATTGGAGTGTTCACAGATCACACAGATACTTTATACTAGACCATTGTATAGGTTTAGATTTAGCTGAGAGGGTTGTTGCATGGTTTCATAGATGTTAGTGTGGGTTCCATACCCATAATAGCTTTTTATGGCCAAAATTAATAATCGATATCACAATAATATTATAAATGTGAAAGTGTATTCGTTTAGGATGTTTGTCCGTCAGTCACGCACGCTGAAACTACTGAACGAATTTTGATGAAATTTGGTATACCTACACTCTACAGGCTGACTTAGGTGATAGGTTGGACTTTTTATCCCGATTAAATGCTGTCATGGGATAAAACAGAAACCATATTCAACGCGGACGAAGTCGCGGGCAACAGCTAGTCGATCATAAAATCTTTGGATAGTGTAGTAGGTGTACAGTATACATGTATATTATTTCGGTGTGTAAAAACTAATTTACTTTGACCAACAACGAACGTAACAATAGACCATTTGACATGTAGGTAATGTAATGTCCATCAAAGTAAAATACCACCAAGTCCAACTCATTTTAATTTTCATTAAGTACGGTGTTAATAAAATGTTTATGGTCAATGGTTCAATTTCCACACAATATTTTGTGTTGTCAACAAATTCTTGTATCCAGTCTGGGTGTGATATACCTCTATATACGTTCTACTAATCCTACTATCCTATCCTACTAATATAATGTTTAAATGCGAAAGATATAGATAGTGACAATGTATGTGTGCGGGTTTTAGTCTTTCAACTCCAAGGGATCGAAGTGAAATTTGAAACAGGGGTAGATTGTACATAACATAACATCACGCGTGTCTTCCCGAAGGGGTAGACACGCGTGATGTTAAAATTAAGTGCCGTAATGTGCACCTCTGACTAGAGACTTAATGCCACTGTACAATGTAACACCTACTTTTCACTATATAAGTTATGAGTCCCATGTAATAGGGGGTAAGCCTATTGCCATATACCGGACACTATTCCAGACTCCGTCCTACTACTGGGATTTTTTAAAAACCCAGTAATACTTTGCCCGACCCGCGAACTGGCTGCCGGGCAAGGGGTCTGGTCTGGAAAAATACACAGGCGTCTTTTTATCCAGCGGCAAACCCGCTGGTAGAAGCTAGTACATACATACATCCAGTGCCGTAACTAGCCTTCTAGGAGCCCGGTGCGAGCTTTAAAAATTGCGCCCTTGAAAAATGTCCTTACCAGGCTCTGACAATGAAATGGCATGAAAATATAATTGTTTATTGTGTACCAAGTTATAGGTCGGTACTTAGTAGATGTTTTAAGACATCGCGCCGGTGCTCTTCCCGCCACGCACTTATCTGGCGCGGCAGCGGAGTTTCGCCCCGGCGAAGTGCCTCCGCGCGCATGCGATACACCGATACACGCGCCTGAGCACCTTCGCCTCCAGATCCCACGGCGGTAATCCGACAAGGAGGTTCGTCGCCTTCCAGGAGATCGTGCGGTATCCGCGGATCATTCGGATCGCCATGAGCCTCTGTGCATAAGCAGCGCCCGAGCGGGCTGCCGTAGAGGGCCATGGACCGTACGACCCCGGCGTATAACTTCCGGCAGGAGGCGTTTGGCCCCCCGCAGCCCCCATCCTCTCCAACTTTGGAGTCAAACGTCGGAAGTGCTCAACGAAGTTCCACCGACTGTCGAGGACGAGTCCCAGGTACTTCATCGTCGTCTCGACGCTGATGGTAACCTCTCCCGCCGTTATTTGGGACTCACCCGGAGATGGCGCGTTCCCGCGGCCATGAAAACACATAGCCTCGGACTTGTGGAGCGCCACCTCGAGTCCCAATTGCCGGATTCTTTCAACAACTGTCGCAACCGCTGTTGCCATTAAGTCGGCCGCCGCCTGGTGCGACGTCCCGTGCGCTAGCACCAGTGTGTCGTTGGCGTAGCATATGATGCTAACGTCGTTCGGGAGGTCGGTGCGCAGCACCCAGTCATAGCCGATGTTCCACAGGAGCGGCCCCAGAACCGAATCCTGTGGAACACCTCTGTGACATCTCTCGCTGGTTCCACTCGCCCCGGTGACCAGGGTAAATGACGGACCTGTCCGTCAGGTAAGCCTCGATTACACAACGGAGGTAGGTAGGCACCCGATGATATCGGAGTGCCTCCAAGATGCAGGTCCAGGGCAGGGAGTTGAAGGGCGTCCCCACGGGTCTCTGTTCAGGGTCTCCAGCATCTCTCGGCGGGCCTCCTCCTTGGCCCGCAGTATTTTCGCCTTGGGGACATCAATAATAGTCAATCTTCCGACCAAGATGATGTTCGTGGCAAATGATTTAAAATTCGATTTCTTGTGCAATTTCGAACAACTTGTCACAGTCTGATTACACCAGTTTGTAATAAGTGTAATGTCCTTATAAACACTGGGTCAAAGAGTAGGAACTGCCCGAACGATAAACAAATACGATAAATAATAAATTGTACCTAATAGTATTTACAACATCATGTTTTCTGGAAAGTAGTTATTATTTGGCATTAATTTGATTTAAAAGTGGGTGTTACATTGTACAGTGGCATTAATGCCGTAATGTGCATCTCTGCCTACCCCTTCGGAGATAAAAAACGTGATCCGATAATATGTATGTGTAATTTTATTTCATATCATCTGAAATGTAAGAAAAACAATATGCATGAAAGTATACATAGTTGAATAGCGGAAACAATGATTTGTTAGGTAAGCTCCACTTATTTTACCTTATCTTCTATTTATACGGTATATAATTTATTATTTTATTTCTATTTTATTGACAAACTTCCTTGTCATTTGAAAAGAAATGATCTCAGGTCCAATTCTGGGTTCGACAACAGATCATCTTACTTTACAATACAATACGACATACAGTTTCGATTTAGATGAGAATATTACCTATAGATCTTATTAGATAGGTACAACTTCCAAGAACCTAACACTGCTTTGGATCGGGATAGACCGACCGCCTATACGAAGATCCGAAGTGCGTATAATATATATACTTATATATGTAACTGATAAAGTGTGAGTGATGTGCCTTGTTCTGCCTGCTATTTCTTTGAACAAAAGTTGTTTTAATATTTTACATTTCCCATAATCTCATTATTTCACATTTTACTTAAGATTAAGATTTAGAAACTTTATACTAAGATATTTAATGTTCAATAGGTATCTAGTTACTCAAGCAAATAAATTCTGTTGAACGCGGATTTATTTGATATTTTGCGTACGAATTGACCATGACCTACTCTAACATAATTTATACCTAATACAAGATTTTTCCGATATTATGGACAAAGATGCGAGTATAATTAGTTTGCGCTAGTTAATCAATAAATTATACTAAATGGTTTAGTACTTTTTTTTTGAGGGGCGAAAATCATCCAATGACTTCTACCGCCTTGAGTGAGGCGGGAGGGGTGTCAGATTCTTGCGGACTAAAAAACACCCCGTTTCTACTCCTGCACTTCGAGCCGGAGCCCCGGCAACCCGCTAAGTCCTGCAGACAACAACTGTAAAGAACTGCGAACTAGAACTTTATTTATTATAGGCACTTAGAGAGGATTTCCTGAATTTTTCTAGTACATTGTGCACATTTAAACTTAAATAAGATTATATAATTAAGATAACTATGCAGTATTTTATTTCTAGTGCGAGCTGAACTTTAATTCAACTGAGATAGAGTCTGTATCGATGGTGCACGTGAAAAGGCATTTTATTATAATTGTATAGAGTTACTATTTATTTCTTACATTTCTATATGTTTTATTTGGTTGTTATTTAGGTACAAGTAGGTACCCATGACCAAGTGTGACGTAAACCTAGATAACAGAACCTGTTAAATAATCTGGTTTTGGCTAACAATAACCAACCAATGATAAAAAACTACTACCTACAACTTGTAGAAAGTGGAGCTCGATTGATAGTAGCTGGCAGGTCAGCCTATCCTGTTCTGTTAAATTTCTCTATTAGGTACATCTTCAACTTTTTCGTATTGATATAAAGTTGAAAATACAATGAATAAATTTGACAGATTGGGGTAGGTTGATTTACTGGTCACTGTACCTATAATGTCGCCTGGCACTATCAAGAACTGATACATGTCTAACATATCTTGCACAAGTCCTGCGCAGAACGTGATATATTATTGTGTAAAAGATAATATAGGACATACATACATTTATGTAAGAACTGCATTTGTTGTGTTTTATTGGGGTCATTGTACTCTGTGTGAAAGCATTCAAGCATAAGAAATAATACATAGTATAAAACAAAGTCGCTTTCGCTGTATGTCCGTATGTATGCTTAGATCTTTAAAACTACGCAACGGATTTTGATGTGGTTTTTTTTTAATAGATAGAGTGATTCTTAAGGAAGGTTTGTATGTATAATACATGCATATTGCACCCGTGCGAAGCCGGGGCGGGTCGCTAGTAAGAAATAATTCTATCACCAGACAAATAGCAAGTTGCGAAAAAGTAAAAGCATTTGTAAATTTTGTTTCTTCTGCATTTTATCAATTTTAACGACGCGACGTCAAGTATTCACATAATCTCGATATATCCTGAAGATGTATCTTTATCATAATACGACTACAGTGACTAGCCGAGTCACACTGTGGTAGACGTGTTGTGGCTAGGATTAAGGAATGCCAATCAAACTTTTCAAGTGCGAACAATTGTTCAAAGATGCGGTTTTTCATAATATTTTATATAAAAAAAATGTCTCACGCTCGGTATTAATTTCAGTGGTAGGGTTGTTATTAGTAGTCGTCGGGGACATACCTACTTAACAATCTTACATAAACATTACGTACACAAATGATTTTTTTTTATACACGATGTGGAAATTTGTATTTAATGTAGGCATAAATATTTACAACTTAAAATAACTACAACTAAACTGTAAAATAAAATGGAAGTAAAAAAAAGGAAACAACAAAAATTATACCCTAAATTTAGGCATCAAAGTATTCGTCCGCATCACTATCACAGGGAATTTACGTTACTTTGTCTTAAGTAAAATGTTGACATTCACCTAAAAGTTATTTTTTTCCTTATTTCAGCGAAGCCCCCAATACAACAAGATTTGATTCAGAAGGTCATTGGATCGTTCGGAAAATATCATCTTTGGCTATGTCTCTTGATATTTTTAACGAAGTTCCCAGTGGCTTTCCACCAAATGGCCATTTTGTTTTTGTCACCAAAGGTGTCATATAGCTGTGGCGATTCAGAACTCAATAATACATGCCCGTGTCCTGACCCAGTCTACGACACTTCAATATTCTCGAGTACTATCATTACAGAATGGGATTTGATCTGTGATAGAAAATGGCTCACCAGCTTTACGCAGACAATATTTCAATTAGGAACATTATTGGGCAGTGTTTTCTTTGGAATGGCATCAGACAGGTACATATTTTTCCTATAAATTTGTAGTAAACGCTGGTTGTGATATCAGGTTTTTAAGAGCCATGAATAATGTAATAATTTTGCTTTTTAGGTTTGGAAGAAAATGTCCTCTTCTAGTAGCTGTAGTGATGCAAATAGCGTGTGGTGTAGGGGCTGCGTTTGCTCCAGATTATTGGTCATTCACCTTTTTACGATTTGTCATCGGGATGTCAGTGGGAGGCACTATGGTCACTGGATTTGTCATCGTTATGGAGTTCGTGGGAACACAGTACAGAGATCTCATCTCAGCTCTTTACCAAGTGCCATTTAATTTGGGCCATATGTCATTGCCACTTTTCGCATATTTCTTCAGAGATTATTCTGATTTTCAATTATCAATTTCTGCACCGGTAGTAATTCTGCTATCATATTTCTTCCTCATACCGGAAACGCCAAGATGGCTGATAGCAGTGAAACGTACAGACGAAGCTATTGAAGTATTGGAACGAGTTGCTAAAGTGTGAGTTTGCTTACTTCTAGCAATAAGTGCCCTGGTTTCCACGATAAAATTCAATCTAATTGCGTTAAATTTTTTCTTACAGAAACAACCGCCCTACGGATAACATTAGAGCAGATATCGAGGCATACCAGGCATCTTTAGAGAAACACCAACTGAGGAAAGGAAACTTTTTGGATCTCTTCAGAACTCCGAATCTTAGAAAGAACATTATAGCCATGGCATTTAACTGGTTGGCCTGCAGTTACTGTTTCTATGGTGTTTCACAGTATGTGGGTCAGCTAAGTGGCAACGTTTTCATAAACGTAGCGTGCAGTGCAAGTGTCACTTTACTCGGCACGTTCTTAGCCATACCTTTGATGAAAGTTATGGGGAGAAAAACGATCGTAATTACATTCCATATTATTTGTGCAGTCTGTTTATTAATATTGGCGGTGATACCAGAAGGAGTGGGCTCAGTAATTAGTGCCAGTATAGGGGTAGTTGCCAGTTTTATTGTATTTTTGGTTGTATATCTATATTGTACCGAGATGTTTCCAACTGTTGTTAGAAATGCTGCTCTTGGTTTTTCCTCGATGGCAGCTCGGATTGGTTCTATGGTAGCACCCTTTGTGATAGGAATGAGAGATACAGCGTTGTGGATGCCCCCAGTGGCGTTTGCTATTCTGCCACTGTTAGCAGCCTTTATAACTATTTGTCTACCAGAGACTAAAGGTTGTGAACTGACAACTACTATAGAAGAGGGTGAAGCGTTTGGAAAAAAAACGAAACCTCTAAAACAATAGACTTAAATGTACATTAAGAACAAGTAGAGTAAAGTATTTTATGTAAATAGTTAATGCGTGTGTAGTTTATAAGTAAACAATTTTGTAAATATAATTGGAAATAAACAGTCGGTGACTGAATCAGTATGTATAAAAACAGTGAGTAATATTCTTATAAGCAAAACTTTGTTATTTATAGAATGGGTCCTATAAAATAAGGATATTAGAACTATTGAAATTACATTTTCTGTCGACACTATTTTTATACATGTGGTAGAAAATGTTATAAGGAACTTCCTATTTAATTGTAATTCCAATAAATATCCAGAATCGCTGCACAGATTTTCATGATGGTCTCACGATTTATGAATAGAAGAGTGAGTATAATAAACTATAGGTTAACATCGGACAAATCACACAACAAAAGAATTTCTTTATTTCCGTGGGGAAAATCCTATGGAAAATATTAACGTTCCCATATATTTTGTTTATGTGATAATATCGGTGACGCAAATTTTACCAAGACCATTCCCAAGAATCATTATTATTTGTTACCAGAGCAAACTGCTCTTGTTTAATATTTTCTCTGGTACTTAGTACCTACACTGTGATACGACATTCCAACATAATTTATATAATTATTATTATTCATTCTTTTCAAATGAAGTCACCGCGAATCTAATGGAAAAATATAAGTTATTTATTATTATAAAATATTTGTTTTTATTGCCTATATTTCTACCAAAATTAAATGTTTAATGTACCTACTATATTAAGAGTCCTATGTCCAATAGGTGCCAGAAACGGACTTATTATGATGATAATTGTGACTGATTGATTTGTTGACATTTTTCAATGTTGTCGACACGTGTATGTACATTTAGGCGTTGTAATGCCATAATATGGACTCATGAACATATTTGTAGTTTGTCCATAATGTTAGTCTTATCGTTTAAAAGATAGATTGGTACATCACAACGAGTTTATTATTTATCTACGTTCAAGATTATTTCCCTGTTTATGAACTACTTATGCAAGTGTCGATTTAAGTTATATGTTACACCAACTTATGCGGCAAAAGAAGATAAATATATTGTCATTTTTAGTCTCTTATATTTAAGTATTGTAAACTTTATAATACCGGCTGGTGTAATGCTATATAGACCAATTATGCATGGCTGCAAGTAAACCACATTCTTTTTACCCAGCGATAAGGCTGAGAACACATTTTCGGCATTCATTTACTTACGACGACACTGATAAACAGTATTACTTACTTAGTTTAATTGCAGTACTTAAATGTATTTAATTTATTATTGTTTGTACATCAGTCCCGTGTTTGGATTTATATGACAAGTGTGTATAGATATAAGAAAAGATAAGATTAAAGTATAATGATATCTTTTCGTAGTCAAACTAAAAGATACTGAGAACAATCTTCAAATCTGTTAATCTTGACAGGTAACGTACGGCTCCATCAAAATGGTAAGTGGTAATCGAGATAAAAATGACGTATGTATGTAGGGAGGAGATGTTAATAGGTAGAAATAACAGACATATCGGTTGAGGTACATATTACGTGTTTGTTGACAAGATGTTTAATCCATTCGTAGGAAATGTATTACCTACCCATTTATCGACACAAGTCCGTATTTCACGACAGTTTAAAATATAGATAACAATACTGAAGTCACTTCTATATAAGAAGGAGGAAAAGTAAATAATTTTCTTTTATTATTTGTATGTATTATGATAAGTGAGGGTAGAAAATGCGGATGATTGTGATGTCGTATGATGGCAATAACCTTGAATGTGAGACTAGGTTACTGAACACGTCACGGAAAATAAATATTATCTATGTATATATTTTCCATTTATTTATCAATAAGTAACGGGAAAATTTTACAGTAAGTAGATTTCGCTCACAGGTGGATTTAGAAATGTCATACAGGCTTCATTCTGACTTATTGCAGTCTTATCCCCGCAGATCTCGATTCTGTAGGAAAGTCAGGCTTATTATTCGCTGCTGATAGATAATAATAATTTACATATGATGTGATAAAGAGATATCAAATGACGATTTGAACTTATTCCGATAAATCCAAAGTAACATTCTCGTACATGTAAGTCTGATATTATTATTAATGAAGAAGATCACCGTGGAATGTCCATCATGGTTTTTCAGAAGATAATATTAAAGAGGTTATTGACGAGGTATGACAGCCATGTGATAATAAAAGCGTTAAACTCAAATAAAATGGACGGGAAAAAGGACGTTGGAAAAAAGGCGGACATATAATTGAATTCTGAATGGCTAATCAATTTTAAGTTGTATTAAATATCATGCTATCTCCGTCATTTTACAAAGAATTTGTAGTGACAGAACTATAATTAACTCGTTGAGTACCGTCATTATAGACGCAATTATAGAACAATAGGTTGCGGTCACCGGTGACCGCTTGGTGTTTGACAGTTTAAGCGGGTCTTAAAATTGAGGAGCGTTTGAGTATTTCGACAACGAGTCTCTTGAAATAACGACTGTGCCACCTGAGGCCTTAGTACGAGTTTGTTTTACGTTTAAAATAATCGTATCGAGTACGAGTTCGGCGCTCTGATTGGCCGACGCCAATGAACCAACCAATCAGAGCGTTTCGAATACTTTAAGCGTAAAACAAACTCGGACTAAGGCCTCTGGCTACTATCAGAATACACACACATTAACACAAAGAACATCGCGTGACATGGCCCGTCATTACACTTCATACATTACGTGTTACAAGTACCTACACGCACACATAAATACACCACTGACATATTGGTACTTCAATCATTTATTTAGAGACAAGTTATTTAGAGACAATTTATTTAGAGACAAGTCCGCCTTTTTTCAACGTCCTTGGACGGGAATAGAAAAGGAAAGCCGATCAATGAAAATATGAAAATATTGTGTGAAGAATAACGTGAAAAAATGAAATGTGTTCATTACAATGGCAAAGAGATCTTCGTTGCCATTGCATGCAGAGATAAAGTACGGGTCATTATTTATCTTATTTCCGCCCAATGAAATAATGGAACATTTAGTTTCTATCATAATTTTAGAAAATAACACAACATTATCTCTCTTCTACACGAAGTACCGAGCGACCTTTGTTTAACTATGTAATGACACATACACTACGTTTAGACCTGCTAAGTAAGTACCTACTTCTGTTACCACCTACAGGATAAATAGCGAGTCTCTTCAATGAGTCTGGTTTCTAAATATACAATTTCATCGTATACTTCACATATACTAACTATAACTACGAGTACTTAAGCTATTAGAGGAAAAATGTATTGTCTGCTGGCATCGAATAGGTTCCAAAATTGCAGGACCGATAAGAAAATGTTTTCACTGTCGGAAAGACACCGTTTCGGGGCACAGACTACGTTTAATCTTAATATTCAGGAAGGATAAGGACATGTTCGAGTCTTTTAAATTCCAAGCAGGTGAAGTTATAGGCGGATAATAGGTAAGTCACAAAATGTGTTCGTATAACTTCGTTAAAATATGTAAAAGTCTAAATGATCTTGTTCACTCTTTGAAAACTAACCTTGAGCAAGGCCTACCTGTTTTACATACTTAACAATGAGCGACATTGTAAAATAATATTTTTTATCAAACAATTTTAATTTCGTATATATACGTAATAATGAGATATTTAGAAATCAATTTTAATACAGTGTCAAAGAGACGGGCATAATGGTACACATTAATGCATTAATAGGAGACTTCGGGAGATATCATTTTTGGCTATGTTTTATTGTGTTTTTGAGCAGATTCAATGTGTCGTTCCACCAATTGGCAATCATATTTCTAGCAGCTCCAGTTGAGTACTACTGTCCAGGAACAAATAATACATGTTGTAACGATCCCGTGTTCAATACGACTGTATTCAAAAGAACCATAATAACCGAATGGAACTTGATATGCGAAAGTGATTGGTTCAAAGATTTAACTCAAACAATTTTTCAATTTGGCGTTTTCTGCGGAAGTCTGTTATTTGGAATTACATCTGACATGTGAGTATTCCTAGTCCCAATATACCTAGTTTATATCTAGTTTCAAACGTGACATTGGTATCATCCTTTTACAGTTATGGGAGAAGACCAACTTTGATAGCATCGATAATAATAGAAATATTTGCCGGCATCATGTCATCGTTTTTACCAGATTTTTGGAGCTTTTCATTCGCCAGATGGGTGGTTGGTATTGCTAATGGTGGTTGTATAATCATAGCATTCGTGATCGTGATGGAATATGTCGGTAGCGTCAAAAGAGATATAGTGTCCATATTGATTCACGTACCGTTCACGATTGGCAACATGGTAGTGGCGGGAATTGGATACCTGATAAGAGATTACTCGTATTTTCTACTCTTCATATCAGTCTCAAACGTCATATTATTGTTTTACATTTGTTTACTACCAGAAAGCCCAAGATGGTTATTAGTTGTTAATAAAACAGAAGAAGCCATTTTATTAATGGAAAAGGTCGCAAAATAGTAAGTTTTATTTATTTACTAATTTTATCGATAGCTCTGTGAATTGATATGATTTTTAATTGAAATGACATTTTCAGTAATAAATTGCCTACGGAACACATAAGAAGTAAAATGGAATTTTATCAATTAGAGCACAGAACTTCGAGACCGCAAAGTACTGCTTTAGACCTGTTCCGTAGTCCAAACTTGAGAAGAAACATTACTGTAATGTCGTTTATCTGGCTCATCTGCAGCTACTGCTTCTATGGAGTTTCTTTTTACATTAGTCACTTGACTGGCGATATATTTATAAATGTCTTGGCCTCCGGAGGCGTTTGTACCTGTGCAACTATTATTAGCATACCTCTAATCAACTTTTCCAAACGCAAAACTGTTGTGATCTTGGGAAACGTTGTATGCAGTTTGTGTTTACTTGCAATAGGTTTTGTTCCGGAAGGTAAAGCGTCTTTGGTTGTCGGATGCTTAGGAGAAATGCAGTGTTACATTATCTTCATTGTGATTTATTTGTATGGTTCCGAAATGTTTCCCACGGTAGTTCGTAATGCGGCTATTGGTATATGTTCCATGATGGCTCGAGTAGGAGCTATGATCGCACCCTTTGCTGCTAACTTAAGACCCTATGGAAAATGGTGTTCGCCAGTTGCATTTGGTATTTTTCCAATGATATCGGCATTACTTTGTTTACTATTTTTACCTGAAACAAAAGATTGTGAACTGTTGATGACAATAGACGAAGCAGAGGCCGCAGGAAACAACATGGAAGTTCCAAGACTAGACAATGATCTTGATATCGAAGAAAGCGAAGTTTGAATTGAACCAAAAATGCCATATAAACATCATATAACCTAGATAAATAGAATGACGTAGAGAATTTGATAATGTAGACAACCACCTACGGCAGGGTGTCATGTAATAAGGCTTAGTGGGCTACGTAGGGGTTCTAATCTAACAATGCTGACATCGGCATCGACATGGCTTCTTGGGCACGCCAGTGCAAGCCGACGGGTCGTAGCACCATGGCGGTGGGCTTATTGCTCTGCATTGCTTGGTATTACACCATTCTTGCCGGTACGTTTCACTTTAAGCCTGGTTGGTTGTATTAATTTATGTTTAAAATGTCGTCTATTTTGATTTCAGGATTCTTCATTCTCTATTGTCCTGTTATGTACCTAATGTTTTTTAGTCATAAATTATACAGAAAGTTAGTTGATTCACTATTTTCTTTGTGGGAATTGTATCCTGTGGTAAGATGTTCGCCTGTAAATTATTTAATTAACATACTCGTAGTGACTGAATGTTTTAATTTGTGATGTGTATACTTCCAGGCGCTGTTTCAATGTTGTTGTGATACTCAATTGCATCACTTTGGTGATTTTGTAAAACCGGAGGAAAAGACTATAATTGTAATGAATCATCGCACAAGAGTTGATTGGAACTATGTTTGGATAGCTTTGTATCATGCAACGCAAAATCCTTCAGGTGAATTGTGCTCTTGTAAACAAACTGATGAAAATCTCAGTGAGTCTAATAGCATACTGGATCTCGGAGGCAAATCGAAAATAAAATTTGTTTTGAAGGATGAAATCAAAAACATTCCTGGCATGGGTAAGTCCAACATAAATTCTATTGATATCGAAATATTGTTTCCTAATAGAGTAAAATGGTTTGTTTTATCGGAAAATAATTGTATTTAGCACTTGACGACACTCTTTCCTGTAATAAAAAGTTTATTAAGTCACCTTGATATTGTATACCTTGCAGGTTGGATTATGCAGTTAAACTTTTTCCTGTACGTAAAGAGAAATTGGCGCGAGGATCAACTAAACCTTTCACAGTTTGTGGATTACTACCAGAAGCTGAATTATGACTACAGACTAGTACTATTCCCTGAAGGAACGGACTTAAGTGAGGAGAACCGTCGTCGTAGTGATAAATATGCACAGGCTAACAACATGCAGGTATTTGTATTCTATCTGTATATTTGTATTGACCAACACTACTGCAGCTATAGTCACCGATAGACAGTAGATATGGAGTAGAAGTTAGAACGTGATCGTTTTTAGTAAGTAAGAGTCTGACACTCCTACCCTCCTTAGTCAAAGCGGGAGAAGGTAATTGATGAGTTTCCACCCACCCAAAAAAGGTTAGTTCTCTTTCCTGAAGGAACAGATTTGAGTGAGGAGAATCAGTATCGCAGCCATAAATATGCAAAGGCTCACAACATGCAGGTATTCAAATTTTATCTCCATCTGTCCGTTTACTTCCACCATTATGAACTACTACTGCCAGGGTTTCGTGTAGACCGGGATTATAGGATCGGGGCCCTGACGCAGGCAGTTGGAACAGTTTTAAGTCAGTAAGAGTCTGATACTCCCACCTGGCTCACCCAAGGCGGAAGTCATTGATCGATTTTTCACCGTCACAAAAGAGGCTAGTTATATAACTGAGAATATTCTCAGAAGGAATGGATTCGAGTGATGAGAACCGGCATCATAGTGATAAATATGCAGGTATTCAAATTTTGCCTCTATCTATCCGTGTATGTTGACCATGACTACTAAAGCTGCTGTAACTTGTGAACCTCGGACTCAATGAAGATCATCTTTCCGGTTCGCTGGCTCGCCACTGTCTTTGTCAAGGCTCAACGCTTTATTCGTTAGATTTGTAATATTCAACAGTTGCGTCAGTAGTGCAAAATAATTTGCGATTCAAATTGAATGCGTGGAACATCTATTTAAAAAAAACATTTGTCATTTTCAATTAACTCGTCGAGTACCGATTTTGTAGACACAATTATAGAACAATAGGTTGCGGTCACCGGTGACCGCTTGGTGTTTGACAGTTTAAACCTACTATTTAGTGTAATAGTGTTTGAGTTTAGTAACTCATTAGTGGTTTTTAATTCATAAGAAACAATGCTATATTTGTAAAAGCGGTTCTTGACGTAATTAAACCCTTAACACGATTTTGGATTTTTAATTAAAAATGAAATGAGTTATTGTGTACTGCGTCTTGCATATGTATTGTGATGCTAAGGACATTATTTATGATTACAGTTAAGTGACAGTTAGGTATACTTAGTGGCCAGCGTTCCTATATTTACGATTATTTACAATCCATTGTTGGCTTTACCCATTAGTATCACTATCGTTATTTGTTTGTATAGTAATATTGATTTCGAAGTTTCTGTTTAACTCTAATTTATTTGTTCAATGCTTCTATTATCTCCTGTACCATAAGTTAAAAAAGTGGCCTTTCTTAATGTAATAATGCAGAATTTGCGTTAAACAGATCTGATGATTTCAAAGCTTATCGAATTTAAACCAAATCCTTTCGTTCTATTCCATACGACGCAGATATACAGTTATATTCATTTTGTTGTATAATAATTACACATTACATTATCAGCGTAATTTACTAGTATCTAATGGCAACTTTGAGGACGGCTGCAGGAAAAGAAAAGTAGGACATTGCAAATTATATCAGTATCTATCATTAGCTACAAACTGATCTGTATTTTATAACTGTTTAGAAAGAGTTAGAATTGCAATAACTACTAGATTATATATAGCTTCTAATACGCAGTTAGTTGACCTGTTAGCCTTCTTTAGCTGTTATGATTCAATTAGACTTAGTTAATTGAATTTGTCTCAAAAAGTTTACATTTTCCTATTTAACACCACAGACGCTATAATAGTTTATTGTCCTTTTAGCCCAATCACCTTAGCTATCAGAAATTTATTGACTAAATAAATATTCTATTGATCGTTTGACCATAAGCTGCACTAGCGCCTCTAGTGGCGCGAATATCCTTAGTATAAAAATTAGCATGAGATCTCCAAGTCAAGTAAAATTAGATTGATAGAAACAAATAGAACCTTAGGTCTGTTTGAATTGTTATTTAATTTTAAGGAAAATGAAAAGTGGTGTGGTGGTTGCTTTTCTATGTTTTGTTCTAGTTGCTATTACATTTTCACTAGGAGTTTAAGATTCTGGTATAGTAGAATAAATGTTGTTTGACCATAAGAACAGTTGTAACTCTTTAGAGCTTGCGAATGACCATTGTTGGCGCCGACTGCTTACCATTAGGCGACCTACCCTGCTAGTGTGCCCTTAAAAAAGTACTCATAAGTTACATAGTTACATTATATTTTTTACAGCGTTACGAATATGTATTACATCCTCGAACAACTGGTTGGACAGCATTATGTTCCCGGTTACGGGAGTCAGGCTTGACCTCTGTGTATGACGTCACAGTGGCATATGATACTCCAGCGCAGACTGAAATGGATTTAGTGAGAGGGAAAATACCAAAAAATGTCTACTTTTATTTTAAAAGGTTAGTATTTGTCTGATTAGTGTATTTCATACTTTGCTTACACTTAGAATTAAGTTTTACGTCAAAGTAAAGATATTATATTACAAAAGTAGTAGAGGACCCAATTAATCATTTATGTACTATCCCGCGCGGAACTGTCGTCGCGCCCAAGTTGCAAGCGATAGTCTATACTGTCGAGACAATCCCTTACATTGTGTGCGGTTCACAGGCCTGATATAATGTCACACAGTATGAAGAATTTGTTATTACTGTAGTATGAATTTTAGAAATCATTAAACCTTATAGTAATTCTTTGGCCGATTTGGCAGTTTAAGCTGCAACTGACCACGACTGACTTTCATGAAAATAATGAAAAACTGACCTCATTCAAGGGGTTTCCGTCTATAAGTACTAGAAAGGTGTAAAAGAGCATTATATATTTTTATTTGTTTAATAATACAGTTAAAATTATGTGTTTATCCAGATACTCGATAGATAAGTTGCCTCAAGACGATACGGCACTCAAAATTTGGCTCGAGGCCCGTTGGCGAGATAAAGAGCAAAGTTTGAGAAAATTTCACAATGATGGTGAGTTACTTGCCTTGATCGAAATAAAAATAACCAAAAAGTATAAGAGATTCGACTGTGTGACTTGAAACATCTCTCAATATGGTGATGTCATTCTTAGCTAATGGGTTTTCAATTCACTGGTGGCCTTCTAAGACAAAATTTTAATTATTACATAGTGATGCGTCAATGGAAATAGTAAATGGTGAGTTGTTTTGTTTGAGAATCGATTGTTCAATAAAAAGAGAAAGGGCTTTTGACACACATTTTTATGTTTTACATAATATTAACTTGTATCCGAACTGAGTATAACAATGGTGAAGGTTATCGTTCAGTATCTTGGTCAGTAAGTTATCTTGTAAATCCCTATCAATCATATATTTTTCATTGGTTTCCTGCACTCAATATTTATTTTAAAGTAGTGGTTTTAGAATACTACAAACTTTCTTTAGTTCAGCAAAGAAATATTCAGAGGCCAAAAGTTTACCTAACGTTTTTAAGCTGTTGGCACAGTAACTATGCCAATATAGTCTATTATACCATGTACCAAGTACCTAGGTAGGTATATTTTCAGACTCCATGGTGTTGAGAATTCCAGAAATGGAAAACTTAATATTAGCCAACGAGTCAAGCCGAAACTTTTTGAATTACGTGGTTAGTATACAAAAAGTTTAAGTGTTTCAATTTTCCAGGTACCTTCATCGACCCACAAACCAATGCCGCACCACCACAACGATCTCCAAGATCCCTTTTGACAGCAAAAGCAGGATTTCTATTCTGGACCATTGTTGATATTCTATTCTTTTATTTTTTATGCAATAGCGTCACATTCCAATTTTGGGTTATCTACCATAGTTTACTGTTCATATTTATTACATGGTATTTTGGCGGTTTTCATAACATTCAATACAAACTCTTAGAAAAATTAAACATGTAAAATTACATACATATTTACAAAGTAGACTTAATTTAGAATTTAGTAAAAAACACTGTGAGTTCTCATCAATGCCAAATTAATACGTAGCTGTTTAATAAGATAAAGAATAAATAGATATTGTTTATCTATAGTACCTATGCTTAATTTTATTGCAATAAATATCTTGATATGAATTAAATATTATAAGCTTATTGATAACTGTGTTTACATAATAAATATGGTTCTTTATGTTCTTCACAATTGTTTATAGAAATAAATTGCAAACTACACTCTTTACCCTTTTTATTATCATTAACCATTTCCAGTTAGATTTCCAATTGTGTAACACATTTTTTCTTTAATCATGGAATTATAATACGAATATTCTTGTATATATGGCGCTATTAGAATCTGCCTAATCTAGAGCAGTTGTTATGCACTTCAACTTTTTAAAAATGTGCATGTTTCAACCATCTCAATCAGCAATGTTTGTCTAGTCCTGCTAGGCGCTATTGTGTAGGTTTTTATGCAAATTATTCGTATCTACATGCAACGGGTAAAGTTGATAAGTATAGCATTAAATATTTAAATGATATTAGATAAATGTAGGTCTTATAAAGATATGGAAGATAGAAAACTTGCTGTGTAATTTAATTAATTAATGATTGACACGTAGGTAATACACAAGTCTTAAGCAAAAATAAAATTTAAAACACGTGAATTGACATTGACTCTGTTAAAATACGATATACTTACGGTAATCCTTGAAAGAAAAGTAAATGATAATTTAGTTTATTTTAAACGTTTAGGTAATTATTTAACAACATCATACAAATTATAAAACTCCATCTTGTATCCATCTATCAACGTACAACAATAACAATTTTACACCTAATTAAAATACTTATTTTAAAATATAAATCTAGAGGTATTATAATTCGAACAGGTACTTAAAACTTATCTACAGACTATTAATAATATTTTAGGAACAGTAAAATTTTAAATGTACCTATTAACTATTTACATATTCGTTCGGCTTCTCTCTTTGCTCAATAGTATTGGGAAGAGTGATCGATTTAGTTTCAGGTAGAAAATAACATAGTATTGCGGCTGCAAGGGCTACACCACTAAATATAAGAATAGACACCCACTCTATACCAATATTTACAACAAAGGGAGCAATAAACCCTCCAAATCTAGCAAACATAGACGCAAAACCTATCGCTGAATTTCTAATAACGGTTGGAAATATTTCTGACGAATATAAATATATTTGAACAAAAGCCATGTAAGCTGCTGTTAGACCTATTATTGCAAAAACTAGTGTTGCTACTCTTATATCACTAGGAATGACGATAAATATTAATAAAGATATCGATGCGGTGGCGAAACTAGATATAACACTTATCCTTCTTTTTAAATATAAGTTAGTCAATACTACTATAATTAAACCTGGTATAAGGCACGCTGCAGACAAAAGCACATTTATGTATATATTTCCTTGCAGTCGCCCTATGTACTGATTGATCCCGAAGAACGTATGGGAACAAAACATCCAAACGAATGCTGCTATCAATGTGTAAGCCCTTACTTTTGGTGTTCTGAAGAGATCTATAAAATTGCCAGTCTTTTGTTGGTTCTTGATTTCTAATTCCAATTTTTCAACAATATCTTCGATGTTATTCGTTGGTAGACCATTTCTGTAAACGAAATGTAATAAGGTTACTCAGAATAATTTCTAATGATCTTGAAATAAGTACGTTATATATGCATATGAGGAACTTACTTTTTAGCGATGTAGGTGAGAGTTTCAACAGCTTCCCTCTTTCGTCCCACTGTGATTAACCAGCGTGGAGACTCCGGCATTAACCAGAAATATCCAATAGTTATGACCCAAGGTACTGCGGTTACCAGTTGTAAATTCCTCCAGTCTCTCACAAAGTATGCTTTGACGGGGAGTGCAAAATAAGAGAGTATATATGGCAATTCTGATAGGCCTGAAGCGTATGGCCTAAATGATTTTCCACATAATTCAATAAGTAGTATATAGCAGCACAGCATCACTCCACCAAGAGATGCGCCAATCAAGAAGCGGCAGACCAAAAACATCCAGAAATATGGTACAAATGCAGAGATTACTACGAATACTACTTCGGAAAATATTGATATTACTACAACGGATTTTCGACCACATCTGAAACATACAATACAATACAATTTGAAGTCATTAATATCTACAAATTGAAATAGTAAATGACAAGGTCATTATTTAGTAAATAACTATTATACAAAAGTATGTCTGTGGTTTTGATTGAATATTTAACAATAATTTTACCAATGACAATAGTACAAAAATACATACCTGTCAGAGAAATATCCAAACAGCAAACTGCCTGCCAATATTCCAACTTGCAGCATCGATTGTGCTAAACTTGCCAAATATGTCCTGTTGCATATGAGGTTCCATTCAGTAGTCACCGAACTCACAATGGTACTTGTGTCATATTCCGGGTTCGCACATGGACAGTAATTGGTCACATTGTTGTCTAAGCACTTGTAATCTACGTAAGGTATAATAAACACTACATTATTTAATTGATATTCTGCTGGGAATCTCCCCACTGTTATTAAAAACAAAATCCATGTTTGATATTTTCCAAAGCGTCCAATTGCCGTTTCTATTAGATCTTCGTCCATTTTTCTTGCTGGAAACTATATCACTGGTGACTTTAATTCATTTCTTTATATTACACATTTATTGTAGAATTCGTCTCAGTCACCTTAGTTGTACATTTACGAGTACAATGTGTTTGGCAGTACCTTGCACTCACTTAATGATACATAATAACGAATGTTTCTTTTGTCAGTCGGTCGTCGATAACATTCAGACCGTCCTTTTCTTTGAGATTGATGCACACTCACGCCATAATCACATGGTAATGTGTGGTGGCACAGTTATCACATAAAATATTATATATTTATCACACACAGACGCACTATTAGATTACCAGCTTAAATAGTTATCTTGAAAAGTAAGCCTAAGTACTTAAACAACTTTACATTGTTTCAATGCACGTTTGAGAAAGGATTATGTAATAAATATGCATATGTATTGTACATTCATAATTTTAGAATATTTATCAAATATTTAATGTGTATCCATTTTTAAATTTCATCGTACACGGCGTCAATAAGTATCCCACTTAGTTATTCTAGTTTCATGGGTATAAAAATTCTATAAAATTAAGCATTTTATCTATAAAATTTAATATTACAAATTTTATGTACTTACTACATAATATTTGTCAAAAGTAAAAATCAGTTAGGCAGGCAGTTAACTCAAGGTTAAATAAAATATATATTATATATATATTTGCAAGTTGGAGCCATAACTGAACCCTGCGGTACACCAATTTTGCACAGTCCACTAATAGAGAATAACATTACTAAATTACTACAACTGTACAGTTTTACAAGTTCAGAATAAACACTCGAGATTTCACGGATAATTTAGTACGTATACAATGACGGTAGATTTTTCATGCATCTTTTCAATGCACGTTGTATTCTAAAGCCTTGATAGGTATCCGAAATATGTACGTCACGTTTTACACAAATTAGGAATGTACAGTTATGAAATTTTGTCACTGTTTTAAATAAAGATCTTCTCGTGATTTGGACGTGTTTATTTAAAACACCACCATTTTAAACTTCAACTTTTCTTCTACGGTTGGTACGTATGTGAATGAATAACATTATTAACATTTTAGAACTCTTTATATTCGATCAACACCTACTTATGTATGCAGCTGAATCTGATGAAGAAACATTGTTCACCTAGACCTAGTTAGAGAAAGGACATAAAAAAGAAATAAAGGTACATACTAATTCTATATACAGAACTGAACTACCTACTTAGATAAAATTTGAAGGTTCTTTTATTGTCATTGGTCTTCATTTTAAAGTGATGAGATTTGGTTATCTATAGGAACTTTGAAAACATCAATTAGTTTGTCATCATCATTTAAGATACATGATCATTTAAGAAAAGTGGTTATTTAATTAAATCTTGTAAAATGAAAAGACAATCGATTAGGTACTTATAATATTTGAAGTACAATAGTCATTGAACTTATCCTAAGTTAGCATTGAACAGAAAGAGACGAAAATTGTTTCACAGACCAGTCTCAAGTTTAAACGACGTAACGAAGGTAATTAATATAGATAATATCGTCAAAGAAATCGAATTATTTACTTGTCTTACAATGTAAGTTGAGTACTTAGGTATTAAATTCAAATATCTCGTCTATTATTATCTCACACTTGTTTGAAGTAGATAAGGCTGGAATTACCATATCTACGAATCTATCAGACAAGCGAATTTAGTATTAATCGGATTTTTTGAGTTTTCACCAAATCCATCCTTTTGCCTATTCACGTCCGGGTAAATTTATGTGTTTGTTATACAAGTCTGAGTGTGCATTTTTGACAATAGAAATCATAATAATATTTTGTCAAGTAACATGTAATAAAGGCTGTCTGTGTATTATCAGTAGATACCTATTTAGGTAGTTTCTTATGTACTGTCATCAATGGTTCTGCGTTGATTTCTGTTAGTGAAGTATGACTTAGTATGATGTCAAGAAAATTCAATATTGTCTGTTTTATGGGATTCACCTTCCGTTTTTTCAGCCCTCCATTCGTGTACAGAATCTCGTTGAGGGTTCTTCTACCTTGTACCTTCCAACTTAGAGAAAAGCAGTGTGATGAAAATATGAAAATGTTATGTTTGTTTTTTGTAATTAATACTTATATTTTCATAATCGTCTTAATAAAATAAATGGGACTTTAAAACGATTAAATCGGTTACACTTTTTTACTTAAGTTAAGACCTTAAGTAAAACATCTTAGGCAATGTTATTTAGCATTTAAAGCAAACGACTAATTTCCTGATTTGTCCAGATTCAGCGACCTTAAATGTTATCTTAGCAATTGAAATGGTCAACATAATAAACATGTGTTTTATCAGGACGCAAATATATAAAAAATGGTGTTTGTTTAAAATCCTTCCCATCTATACGATATGAGAAATGAGATAAAAATGTATAAAACTAAAAATAAACGTATAAAGTAATTACTTTTATCGTGAATAGGTACATAATGCCACTGCATTTGATAGCATCATGTTAACTATCTTAATTTTACCCATAAGTAGAAATTACATCATTTTATGTTTGCTATGCTACTATATTATTAAAACTTCTACTTAAAAGATTTCAAAATTAACTGAACGAAACGAATTTTGAAACTTTCATTTTAATAACAAATAGATAATAATTATATGAATTCAAAAAACTCTTATCAGTTGTTTTCATGAATACCTAACTGTAACGAGCCATAGCCACTAACTCTCCAACCGCAGCTTCACTCGCCAACTATAGAGGTACAGCCAAAACTTCTTTAGGAATATAGAGGTACTATGAAGAGGAACTATACAGCCAAAACTATATCTGCGGCATTAACTCCACCTATGTGCTTGTTTGTGTACATAAAGTTTCTAAATAAATAAATATAACTATCAGTGTACCCTTTAAAGTGGTTGCCTACCATTTAAAATAATTCTTAAGGTACACAGACTCTAAAATAGCATGGTAAAAGGTATTCTACAGCATGCTCAAAACTTCCACGCCTATTAGGCCACGCTAATTTTGAGTAACATTCCGACACACACGCTACTAAGTGATAAGTGCTCATTTGAAATATGCTTTAGTGCTTGAAATTCGCATAGGTAGGTACTGTAAGTACTCATTTGGAAATAAAACCAAAAAAATTGTAAAGCAATTAATTGACGATACACATTTTGCTCGGACCTATTTGGTAGTGTCGCTGTTACACAACAACACTAATAATTGCTATATATTACCGTAATGCCCATTAAAAAGTGTCACGACCACCCATACATTTCGTAGATTAAAAGGCATGACGTTCCCTATATTATCCTGTAAAATTAAACTCAGGGAATGAAAAATAATGATTTTTCAAGAAAAGAATAAGTGCAGTTTCCAGGTAACCAAATGTAATTTTCTTATTAGGTTTTTTTATCATTGCAACGCATAAGACTATTAAATAATTATTGCAATTCATAAGACAATATATGTTTTTTTGTCATATTCTTTATTACCCTTCTTTGATTTAACGGTTTTTTTATTCAGCTCCTGTCAGGATTTTTATAGCATTTGTTAACTTTTTAATATTGTATCTGAAGTTCAAAGTGTTATTAATATTACCGACTGTTTTATTAAAAACTAGCATCTGCCTGCGGCTTCGCCCACGGTACCAGGGGTAAAAGCAGCCTATGTGTTCCTCCAGACCATGACTTTGATGTGACTGAGTAACAAATATGTGTATGTTTGTGAGTACAAATTCACAAATTTTCGCAATTATAATAGCCATTGAAGCTGATTTCGACCACAGGCCCTACAGTTACAACGTAAAGCTTGCGGGTAACCCACCATTCGACCATCTTATATTTGCGTTTGGCACAGTAATCGTGCCTAGTCAGTAGGCTGAGCGATATCGCCGCGACCGCCCATGCTGCTCTTGAGGAAGAGGCCTTCTGTGACTCGAAACTAGTAGAACTTTTCTCAGTTTATTTACGTGATAAGTGCCTAACAGAGTGGTTATGACCATGTTATAACTTTGCCTACATCGGTGGGTTTTGTACCGCCCGTTGTGTTGTAAACTTTATATTAGAGGTATACCATCACATTTAAAGAACAAAACAACTTTATCTTTTACAGTTGTTTTATACGAATACGATAGAAAGGCTGCTGCTGGCTATTCTGTAACTTTCAATTCGGAAGATTGAAGTGAACTCGATTGCGGTCCGCCATGTCATTGGTTGTAAAAATAATCTCGACCAATGACGGGCGAGAATGCTTCTAGCTCACTTCGAAAGTTCCACCGGACAGTTACAGAATAGCCTACCTGTTCATGATTACTTCGTAATTGCTTGAGAATAATTCCTTGTTGATGTTAAAATTTATGTACAATATAAATATAAGTATGAAAAATCAATAAAACAATTCTTATTACACAATTTGATATTTTATTTCATAACAATATTCACGTTTTATCACAGCCTATAAAAATAGACCATCATTAGTCTAAACTTAGCCTATCGTTGTCATAAATACATTTTGCAAATATAAATAATGATTTGCAACAAATTGTCGAGAACACTTACATTTAAAAGTCTTTAAATAAGGTTTTATAAACATACACATACGCTCGCAGTCACACTGTAAAACTTTCATACACCACAATGAGATTTAAATATAAAGGAATACTTGTTAAAGCCATAGCAACAATTTACGCTTCACCTTCTTCTAATGTGTCGGGTAATTTCCTTCCACGGGTATCAGGTAGCAGCATACAAAGCCCAGCGCCTATCAATGGCACAATACCAAACGCCAGAGGTGGTAGCCAAGCACTTGTGTGAGACAGAGTGGCAACAAACGGAGCTACCATCGACCCTATTCGAGCAACTGTTGATGACAGTCCAACTCCTGAGTTTCTAACAACAGTTGGGAATAGCTCCCCTGCGTATAAATACACGGTGGCGAAGGAGATGCTCATCCCTAAGAGTCCTGTGCAGCCAAGTGTCAAATGACTGGCTCCAGACTGCGGCACGACGATGATGAGGAGACAGCTGATTCCAGTGATGCAGTTCGCACTGATCAGAGTGATTTTGCGGCCCAGAACTTTGTTGGTGTAGACGGAGATCAAGGTCCCAGGAACCTGAAGAAGAAAATATACATGGTAAAAAATCATATAATAATAACTTAATATTACATCTATTTCCTCCAAAACGGTACGGAGAAGAGAGCTAATCGTTTAATTAATCACTTGTAGAAAACGTGAAAAATAAAATGAATTAATCAAACTTTATTTAATAACTTTGTACGTCCGATAACATAATTAAGTAAGATAGGTAGGTAATATAGAGAAATCAGCCTTTACAATAGAGATAGTTAAATGCTAAAAGGCCAGTTAAACCGAAGATTAACTTAAGGAGTAAAGTCTGCTCAGTGACTAATGATTGCGTGTTCAATGACATTGCAGAGCGTGATTTAAACTGGATATAACTTTGTGACTATCTAAAAGATAACTTAATACCTAGAGTTTACGGGATAATTTCGGGTGAAACTGGATCTGATAATATTGAAATAATTTCCAGTAAACTTGCTATGCTTATCGCTTGTGAAGTGACACGAATAATGTAAACTATAATAATTACTACGCTAAGATAAAAATGTAGGTGAAGACATTATTATTTTTTAATTTGATTAAACTCCACCCTTTTGTTCTTTAATGATATAAGCTGAACACATAACGTGTTGGTTGTCATGTGAACATAGAGACAGAGAAGATATAGCATTCGTGGACAGTAAAATATTAACATTTTATCTTGCCCAAGAACCTGACCGGACGAGGATTTAACTCAATCCCACACAAAACTATTAAGGGAAATGCCAAAATAAAGAAAAAGAGAGAATTGAATATAATTACGTAATGATATAGATACAGCATACAGATGGGGACAATATAAAAATTGAAAATTACCTGAATAGCAGCGGAAATAGCAACATTGGTGAAAATATCTCCAGATATGTGGCTCATGTACTGTGAGACCCCGAAGAAGCAGAGTCCACAGACGAACCAGTTGAAACAGATAGCGATGGTGCGCGCACGTAGGCGTGGCGTACGGAAGAGATCTATGAACGACGCATGTTCTTCTTGTTTACCATCGTTGTCAACAACAATCTTCTGTGAAGATACTGCTATTCCTTCTGTTGGTCTACCGTTTCTGAAATAAAATAGAAGTTAAAAATTTAGTTTATATTTCTTATTCAGCATTATAATGATCTAAACCTATTAGGATTTGTAGGAAAAGGGTATATTTTATATGTAATGCCCGCCAGTTGTTTTTATTTTGTGTGGAATGATGGTATTTTGTGGGATCTAAGAAGATTACAAGTACCTATTAATTGTTCAGTATTTTCTAAGATAATATTTAGTTAATAATAATTACGCACTATATGGCACGCGCTTATTAACGTTATTTTATCTTAAATAGTTCAGTAGGTCGATTAGAATTGAGAAACAATTCAGATTACTTCTGTGAATGTGATTAGTATGACAATTATTAAAAACTTTGTATTTTACTCCTATTTTAATAATATTTAATGATTTCGTTTCAAGTGGAAACGAATAACTAATTTTAATACACAGTAGTACCACCAACTTGTTTGAACTAATCGAAACCTAGTGGGTGAACGATAAAAATGTGATTGATATAGGTTTTAATTTACATTCCTTTCGATGCATACCTAGACATTACTTGATTTCTAATCTGCACAATAACAATAGCTACACCGCTATTGTTTATATCGCTACCGACTGCTACGTCCATAGCGAAATAAACTATGTAGGTACTACACATAACTTTATCTTTAAACATAAAAAAATACCTACAGTTCTCTAGATTATGTTCAAGTAAATTTACGACATTTTTATTACATATGAAAATTCGCACAATTCGCAAATTTTGTACCGCACCTGGCATATTTCACTACTTTGAATGAAAGCGAAAGTGGGACTTTAACTTTCTCAGCACTTGTAAACCGATGTATGTTTTGCTTTCTTACATAAATCCTTTTATAATACTGGGCGTGTCTCATTACATGCGTAATACGTATTTACGTAAAAACTATCATCAAAATGTTATATGACCCTCACCTTTTCGCCGCAACTTCCATGATTTTGACAGCTTCCTCCGTCCTTCCAGCAGTTAGAAGCCATCTTGGCGATTCAGGGAGTAGGAAGTAGTAACTCAGGAACAAAACAGATGGCAGTGAGATCGCAAGCTGGAAGGTGCTCCAATCCCGAAGGTAGTATCCGAATAGGGGTAGAGTCAAGTGCCCAAGATTGAAAGGGATCTGGTAGATTATTCCGACAGTGTCTCTGTATTTAGCTCCAATCAGTTCCATTGTTAGGACGAAGCTGGTCACCATCGTGCCTCCAGTGGCCACAGCGAGGAAGAATCGAAGAGTCGTGAACATGTACCAGTTGACTGAGTACGCTGTGGTCACTCCTGATATCAGCTGCAGGAAAACTGCTGCCAAGAATGGATTACGACGTCCGAATCTGTGAAAACATAAAATTGGTTTCAAACTTGGGTAATAGCCATGAATTAAATTAGAGGATCGGGTATGTCTAATCTATTTGTTAAATTGAGTTAGCCTATATCTTCCTGTTAATTATTTTCGGTTATAAATGAAGAAACATGAAATAAAATTAGCTTAAAAAACCAATCTGGTAACCAAAGTTAGGATTTGATGTTCAACAATCGCTAGACTACCAAGGTAATCAACAATTCGCGATTTAAATATAATATAAAATACATATGTACATAGTTAATAGACACGAACAGGTTTTAATTTAATAAACCTTTTATCTTTTGTATATTGATCAGGTTTATTGTAACTGTAGACACGACAAAGAAGAATTTCACACACTAGACAAACGTGGCTAATACGTGTGGCTTGTACCTAACATAGGAAGCAGTTCCAAGGATTCTAAACGCGGGTTATCAGGGAACGTGGTATTGACCTATCACCACTGGATATCTATTCTACTACTTGTATTAGATCATCCGCAAAGTTCTCATACCGATTAATAAATTGTTACTTTGTGCATTGAATGCACCTTCAATATAATTTAAATACATAATAACGCAGTGACCCCTTAAACGAGATTTGCTAAAGTAATCTCATCCGGACTCCAGCCACAGTGATGTGCAGCGATAAGTACAGGATGTGCCAATTGCTCGAAGATCTATATCAAGAGCAATTGACTTGATTCAATAAATAGCACTAACCTGTCAGAGAGATGGCCGAACATCATGTTTCCCACAAGGATGCCGAGCATGAAGATCGTCTGTGTGAGGTTCTTCAGCCATTGTTTGTCACACACCAGGTCCCATTGTGATATGATCGTTTCTTTGAAGATACTTCGGTCGTACTCGAAGTCAGTACAGTTAGCGTAGCAGACGTTATCAAACTTATCTTCAACTTGTGTCTCAGCGCATGTGAAGTTCATGGGTGGTGCGAGGAATATGATGCTCATCTGATGCCAGGCCACTGGGAATTTGACAAGGAATACGACGAAGCATATCCATATTTGCCATTTCCCGAGAGCTCCGATGGCTTTCGTCAGAGGATCCTCTTCTACAGTTTGGTTCTCTACGTCTTTCTTTTCAGTCTCCAACACTGAAAACAATTTATGATTCTATTTAATATACTTTGTTAAGATTACAATTTCAATACAAGTGTTAGTTTTGGTAATTTTGGTGTATTTCTGATTAGTGCCACCGAGTGATTATAATAAGTCGTTTTTTTAGTTAACAATCTTAAAAGAAAACAAAAAAAAAAAAACATAATTCAATTTAATTTAAATAATAATGATTTGAATTTAGAAAAAAAACACAACATTTATAAGTATGTGAAACGTTACTACAATACCCAATAATTAAAGTAGGTAACGAAATCGCCTTCCATAACATTAACATTACTTACATATAACAGTTATGTTGTTATTGTTCATGTATTCTTTTTTGCAAGACATGTTAATCGGAATATGCGTACGGAATATTTAATTTAAAAAACAAAAGGAGGTTGTTTGGACCACGCACTACTTTACATGCTCACTTCTTTTAGAGAACTGCGAAAGATTCAGAACGGTGAATCCTATCAATAGGTACCTATATTTATATCAACCGCGGGTGTCAAATCCCTCACCCCGAAAATTGGACAATGTCCGTCTGCAAAAAATGGATAAGAGATCACCTTCGGGTCAATTGAGCTATCACGCGTTCCAATATAGATACAGGGTGGCCAATCGATAACCTAAATATAACCAGTTTTTTGTGATTGCTAACTAAATGACATTGTGTCTGTATTTCCCCCATCCCTGAAGAACTGGTAGAGCTTTACGGTTGGGTGGATATGGTCAATGGTACTCATTTACATAGTTATGCCGTTGTTATAGGGGGTGACCCTATTACCATTAAGTTTCTATACCAGACACAATACAAAACTTGGTGGATTTTTTTTTTTATAATTTTTTTTGGTTGGCTATCGTCTCGACTAGTGGTAAGCGATGATGCGGTCAATGATGGAGCACGCCTGCTTTTAAGTATCCTTTCCAATTGATATTTAAATTACCTATTCAATCTCTACTCTCTGTACTCTCTACTGGAAATATCGACTCTGGTATAGAGTTCCATGTGCTTACGTGATTCTTAGAATAAAGTATCCAAAAACAAATAATTAAAGAATCTATAAGTAAGACTAGCTAGTCACTCATATTTAGAATTTAAGGTTTCTACCACAATAGATTTTTATAAATTACTACAATACAACCTTTAATTATTTTACTTTTATGTCTGTTTGGTATAGATATCCTATAACTAAGGAGATAATCGTAAAATACCAATCCTTAGGTATAATCTAAATTCATGATAAGGAAAAACATTTTTAAAATTTTGAAAATAAAATGTCAATAGGACCTTTATAATTTAAAAGGTCGGCATTATAAATCGTTAGTGTTAAACCTGTTAGATTGGTCTGTTGTCTGATCTTAAATTTACATTAAAAAAGAAAACTAAGAACTGTTACACACGAGCGGTCTGTTATGTTGTCAATAGCAGAGTCAACTGCTGCCGTTGACACGTGTCGGCAGCAACCGCTGACGCGTCGACGGCAGCAGTCGACCTATAGCGAGTTGTAGCGTTCTTCGAAGTTGAAATGTCGACGGATGTTGCCGACGGCTGCAGTCACCACTGCTGTTGGCAACATCCCGCTCGTGTGTAAGAGCTCTAATATAGAGATATATCTGCCCAAACACAAGCTCGTGGTTGTTAAGCTAGATAGATATTATTTTAACAGTACATTAATTACCGTTACAAATAAAATAGCAATCAGCTGTAGGTATTCTTTTCACAATCTATGTCACTATTAATGACATATAATATTATGTTTGGTAAAGAATTCAAGTATCGCTTTAAAGTGTGTTTGATGTGTTCTTCATGTTTATTGATTAGATACTTGAAATTACATTAGATCTTACAAGAGAACAAAGAAAAATAACTAAATAAAAGCTATTTTCTATAAATGTAATAACAATTTACTATTATATAATAAAGGGCATTGTTTGCATGACATTCCACAAGGCCATGTTTACAGTTAAGTGCATAAAATGTTCGCATGTGATTATACATGCAAACCGAGGCGTCTTTGTATCATTATTAATATTAACTATTATTAATAATAGCACGTGTGATTTACACGAGAATGATGCATGTGTTAATTCACGAGCAATCAAAAAGTAACGTTTTTGTATAACTTAACAGCTTTTTTGTAAGATCCGCCATTCATTAAATAATAAGTGGTCATCTTTATTTCGAAGTTACTTTACTGATGTTTACCTATGTCGAATGTGTTTAGTTTTCAGATATCAAGTACATCCGTATTTTACTTTGTAAATAAGGAAAACTGATGAGTAAACAATACCCTTTCAACAAGTTAGGTTTTGTTTATACAACGTTAAACAGTTTCTAAAGCCGAACATAATTGGTTGTTTTCATATTAATGTTTTATCATAAATAATTGCTACGAATCATCCGAAATGCGGAATTTATTTGAATTTATTATAATTGTTTTGACCTTTGTTCTGTCTATGTTCATTATCGGGAGTCAGCGCGACGCAGAGCGAGGCAATCTTCGTTATCAGAGGAACGAGGAGCCGAGCCTCCACGCGACTCCTGATAACGCAATTATTTCGTATTCGTCGATATGACAACATTGAGTCATACGTAACAAACGATATAAGTTAGCTATTTGTAATGCCAATTCTATTACAAAGTTAAATATAAACTATACATACATTTTACTATTCTTTCTCCTGTCATTTTCCAATGAGTTTAAGGTCGACACTGAGGTTTAACTACATTTAATTTAGCTGTATGTTACTAGGTAACTTACTACTTATTTTACCTGCTTTCCACAATCTTCTATCGACCGAATGCTGAAGGCTACTCCATTTGAAGTCGAACTTAAATGCAGTGCCATCATTGTCATTTTACAAAGAATTTGTAGTGACAGAACTATACTTAAGCGCGACTTTAGTGGTGTTTGAGTATTTCAGCATTATAATGGTACCACATATTTTTAATTACAATATAATTGGGTAGTTGGGTAGTCCTAGGTTTAAAATAAATTGTTTCAACTTTTCAATGCAATAAATAATTTAAAAATAATCACACTCAATATATTGACTTGACAATTTACCTATTTTTGGATTTTTTCTCGCTAATTTTAAGGAAATAAGTATGCTATTTGACGCAGAAATATGATGACGTCATAAGTTGCGATCCAATACAAAATTCATAGAAAAGTATCGTTTTTGACATTTCAATAAAAGTATTGAATTTGACTACCAGTCAACTACTGTATTGGTCCAAGTTCCGTCTCCTCCATGAAGTTACAAATGTTTTTCCGAAACAAAAATTATCACCAAACTTCTAGAATATGTATTTAATTTCATATTAATGGTCTGTAATATCACGATATTATGGGGTTTTCTATCTTTGATTAGAAAATGATTACGTTATCAACATCATAACGGCAATTGCATTAAAGTAATTGCTTCTTTAATTAACTATACCATGTATCAAATGAGTTTGTACAGCTTAATGAATTTGTCTATTTATTTAAATTAATTAACTATTACAAACATAAAATATCTGATAATAGACACAATAGTTGTCTCTTGTATAGTCTTTACTTTTGATTTATTTATTTCTATTATAAGGTAGACATAATTTATATGTGGAATACACAGTCCGATTTCAATCTTTTTAATGAAATGAAACCAAGTCCGTAAGAAGTGGTAAAAATATGGTTATCAGTATAAAAATATATTTAAAGTAAATATGGAATAAAAATTAAAATAGGTAGGTACTACAATTGTGTAGAAGATGTAGAAAACAAAAAGAGACTAAAAGTACATAATATTCAGTTTTTATATGTGTTTGAAACTGGCAAAATAAAGATCCCAATTAGAGGTATCCGGCAAAGCTATTTATTATGTTGTTGTTACGATCCGTTTTATGTTGTTAAAGTAGAAGTCTATTCACCTCGTAGGAGGAAAACGAACTTGAAGAACCCATAGACAAAAAAAGAAGATGTTTTTTAACATTTTGCAGATTTTTTTTAGTCAAATTCGTCTGTTAAATTATGATTGACGGAATAATTTTAAAACTTAATTCATTCCAGTTCTATGTTAATCAATTCGATGTAATAATCTTGATATAATCCAATGTCTTGATTTAACCTTGTTTTTTGTGTGTAAATGTTCTGTTATTTTTTTCAAGAATGAATTCAATGCATGCAAAATATATGTATTATGTCCCCGAGTAAAATAATCTTAGTCATCACGCTAGAGAAATAGCAGAGAGTATTTCCTTTTTTACCGTTTTATTCAGTAAAACAAATAAATATATTTTAAATCGTGACAATTTCAATTAAATAAATTATGTAGTTACGGTACCCAGGCACTACTTCATTTGTTTATGTTAGACATAAACATAAACATTACATTAATCTAAGAATTTAATTTAACTTTTACGGGCTTGCCAAGTTAATTAAGATGGCGGATTGCAAACGCACGTAGCTAATAAGAAACTCCCGGCAATTTAAAATAGTTACTGCGAATCCTGGTTAACAATTCACTTGTCGTTTACATTCAAATTTTAACAAAGACCTTATAAATACAAATGGAAAGTCTCAGCACGTAACGATTGCGTTACTACAATAGCATTAAGGGTTCATTACATAATGTCCGGTTACGCAAATATTAAGTTACCAACAGACAATAATTTAAAGAAAATGGAACAAAATCAACGTCTCAATTTGACCGGAACATATCCGGTGTTGCCAATCGCCCTTAACATTTGAAATAATAAAGCATTTCTGCACTGTAATTAAAATTTTACTTTAATGGGCGGTGATTCGATAAAGTTTAAAACGCAATTACCAGCTGTTATTTAGGTATACGTAGTAAATATCACTTTCATAAATAATAAATAACAATAGTTCAGTAACTGTTGCTTGAAAGGGCACATATGTATTTATTTCTACGCAGCACCTATGCATACAATTAATCAATATTAGCTTTGAGAACTCTGGAGCGTGTATCGTGCGTCGCCGTACAACTTGCGTGTCGGGATGGAAAACTACAACGAGGGCAATCACCCCGCTTGGATGTCGGAGCCTCGGAGGGACTCATTACGAGCAATCTCCAAACAAAATTACTTTTTCCATTTCCAAAATTATTCTCGCATATTTTTATGGACACAAAATTGAGGACGAGAAGTCCAACAACTTTTTTCGACAAAGATTGCGGATAACGGGTTCAAAAGTTATTAAAGTAAATTATATACAAGTAGGTACCTATTCATGCAAAAATATTTAATATGGCTGTAGCTCCACCAGCCAATTATGTTTATAAAACTTGCATCTTTAATAGCCACCTTGCTATTGATCTTTGTGATCAAACAATATGTTCAATGTTTATGAACTCATTTAATAGTAATGATAAGTTCACATCATGCATCATACGAAATGATGTAATCTACTGTCTGTTTCTCATCACTGAGTTGGGTCACATTTATTT